CTCTCTCTCTCCTCTCCCCTCTCTCTCTCCCTCTTTTGTTCCGTTCTCTCTCTCTCTATGTCTCTCTCTCTCTCTTTTCCCCTCTCCTCTCTCCTCTCCCCTCTCTCTCTCTCTCTGTCTCGCTCTCTCTCTCTCTCTCTCTCCCTCTTTCTCTCTCTATTCCTCTCTCCTCTCCCTCTCTCTCTCTCTTCCTCTCTCCTCTTCCCTCTCTCTATCTCTCTTTCTCTCTCCTCACCCTTCTCTCTCTCTCTCTCTCTCTCTCCCTCTCTCTCTCTCTTGTTTTTTTTCTCTCTCTCTCTCTCTCTCTCTTTTTCTCTCCTCTCCCCTCTCTCTCTCTGTCTCTCTCTCCCTCCCTGTCTCCCCGCACCTCTGCAGGGAGTTGACTTTTTCTGCGCGGCCGCATCGCCAGGCACGGCGCGAGCGACCGGCGCCGAACAATCCGAGCAGCACGGGCGCGCAGGCGCCGAAAAACCACTGCTGCGCCGAGTAGAAGGACGAAGAGGAGGAGGGGGAGGAAGAGGGGGGCGAGGAGGGGGAGGAGGAGGGGCAGGAGGAGGAGGAGCAGGACGACGACGAGGAGGAGGACGAAGGGGGGGAGGAGGATAGCGAAGAGGAGGAGGAGGAGGGGGACGAAGAGAAGAAGAGGAGGCGGAGGAGGAGGAGGAGGAGGACGAGGAGCAGGATCAGGAACACGAGCGGGAACGTCAGCGGGATCAGGAGCACAGCAGGACCAGGAGCAGGAACAGGGGCACGAGGAAGACGAGAGCAGCAGCAGCAGCAACAGTAGCAGGAGGAGGAGTGGGAGGGAGAGGAGGACGAGGACCCCCCGAGGGGAGGGAATCGGCCGCGGCGCACTACGCTATACTCCGGACAAAGCGGCGGGGCGAGCCGCGGAGCCCCCGCCCAGCGCGCGCGTAAGGAGAGGGGGGAGGGAAGCAAAAGTAGTTTTGCGCTCGTCAATTTTAGTCTTTCGTCGGTTCGGGCCTCCAGGGACGTTTTCGGCGTTTTCCGGCCCCGGGGCCCTCGGGAAGAGACCCGGGGCTAGAAACTACACCGGATGGACCCACAAGGGTCGGGTGGGCGATTTTGAACGGATTTTGGTCAGGGGGGCGGCGGAAGAAGAAGGAAAAGGGGGCGACGACTAGGAGGGGGGGCGCGAGGAGGAGGAGGAGGAGGAGGAGGAGGAGGAGGAGGAAGAGGAGCTCCTACGAGCAAGCGAGGGGCACGCAAATGCAAATGCATTAGAGGTACTGGTCATCCTGGCCATCAGAATCGCCTGCGTCTTCGACGTCGCCCAGGCTTACGCGGGGGCGGCGGGCGGGGCGTCCGGGCCCGTGCACTCGCGGTAGCTGTCTTGGAAGTGCTGGAAGAGCCCGCCCAAGAGCTCGAGGTCTTCGGCGTCGTCGCGCAGCCCCATTCGGCGATTATCTCCCCCCCCGCCCCAGCGCCACCTCCTCCGTCGGACGGGGGGCCGAAAAACTCCAGCTCCATGTGGCGATCCTCCTCCTCGGCGTCGTTCACGACATCGGCGGGCGCTGCCTCGACGACACCCCCCCCGCCCCGACCTCCGGCGCGACCGCGACCCCGACCGCGGCCTCTCCCCCTCCCGGCACGGCCTCCGCCGCCGCGACCGCGGCCGCGGCTTCGCGGGCGCTTCCGGGTCCGCGCATGGCCTCGCACGCGGCCACTGACGCGGCCAGGGCGGCGGGGCTGGTCAGACGAATGGTTGGCGCATCCGAGGCGGCGTTGCAACCGTAACGCGCGTTCTGTTTGGCCGGCAACGCGGCCTGTAGGCGCGCGCATGAGGAGAGTGAAATGGCGAGACAAATACAACATCTCGGCTTCATCATAATCAGTTGCTCCGTCGCCTGTCCGAATTCCAAGGTAGCGCCGCGCTTCGTCTCTGCCCGCGGGAAAAGCTCGCGGGGAAAACGCATTCAAAATTGCCCGAAATTTCGTCTCGTCGTAGTCGGCTCCATCGCATTTTGGCCATGCCCGAAAGCGGTATCCCGAAGCGTCTTCGCGTTCGTAGAAGTGCGCCCCGCCCATCGCCATCCTGATCACGCCGTCCGTCACAAGCCGCCGCCCGGGGAAGCGCCTCCCATCGTCGCCCAGGGCCCCGATGGCTCAGTTGCCCCCTCCCCCGCAGCAACATCCGACTCGGCCCCGAAGGGTTTTCGCCATTCCGCACCCCGGGGCAAATGTCGTTGAATTTCCCAGTGGGTGCCCATGCGGCGACGCATTCTTCTAGGTACCAAATTTATTCGAGCACGTCGCCGCGTTTAGGGGCATCTTTCGTTTGCGCGCCCACGGCGCCCCAAAATGATTCAATGCAACTGTTGGAATATGCTGAAAACGGCAGCTGGGTTCGCGAGGGCGAACATTGCCACTGGGCCTCCCATAACCCCGCGTCCGCCCGCAGAAAATTGGCTTCGAAAAAATCGGCGAAGTCTGTTTCTCCATCTGCCCGTAAGTTGCGCATGATTTCCGCCAGAAAACATCGAACAATCTTGGCGGGGGAAAGCTGACCTGCGAGCGCACTCCCTGATCATCGCGCATTTGTTGTCTAGCGCCCAACACCAGCCCGCAGCAGTGATGTTTTTAAACGTGTTGCAAGCATCTCACGCGCGTCGCCCCTGGGAAGATCCGTTCGAAAACACTGACAAGTGCCTTCCCGCCGTCGGTGTACACGGCAGTAGTTTTTTCCACCAAATTAAAGTTCGACATGGCAAAACCGCCCGGATGGAGTCCACGAGCGCGCCCGCGGCCCGGTTATTCCCCTTGAGGTAACATCGTTTTGTTTCCAGGTTCCGGTTTCGTTTTTAGGTTTCGGTTTCGGCGCTTGTTCTGACCGGAATTACGAAGGGGACCCAACCGCGGCGAAGCGAATTTCCCAAGCGGCGCTCTGGCCAAAATTACGAAGGGAATCGAACCGCGGCGGTGCGAATTCCCCTGGCGGCCCAAACGGCAAAAACAAAACTTCGCACCTCCAACTCCGATATTCGATTATCCGACGGCGTCGACGACCCCTGGGAGGGAGAGTCGGAGGGGGGCACTGAAAGGGAACAGTCTGAGGGGAGGATTGGGGCGGGGAGTCGGGGAGGGAGATTTGGAGGGGAGGTCGGAGAGGATGACTAAAAGAAGATTCGGGAGAGGAAGGTCGGAAAGGAGCACTGGGGCAGAGGGCCGGGGAGCTGCGAGGAGGGGTCGGTGGGGGTCGGAGAGGAGGATTGAGGGGGAGATCGGGGAGGCGGATTGGGGAGCGGGTCGGAGACACGTCGGCCGCGATGCTGACGCGCTCGGCGCCAGTGATGACGTCGGCGCTGGGGTCGTTGCTCGCGTCGACGCCGACTTCTCCGATGGGTTTGGTGCTGGAGTCCGCGCTGTACTCAGTGCTGGCGAAGATGCTGGCATCGGTGCTGGCGTCGATCCAGGCGACCGCTCAGGCGTCGGTGCTGACGTCTCTGCTGGTTCCTGCGTTGGAGTCGACGGTTTCTTCGATGTTGGCGCCGGTGCCGGCGCCGCCCCCGGCGTGGGCCGCGGCTGGGTCGCGGGGTGGGTGGCGGCTGGGTCGCGGGGTGGGTAGCGGGGTGGGTCGCGGGAGGGTCGCGGGCCGGGTCGCTGGGAGGACAACGACAGCAAACAACAACAACAGCAACAACGACAACAACAACGCAACAAGCAGAATCGTCACCACGGATCCCAACTTTAGCCACGCACCCAGGGACAATGAATGACCGTTCGGCCCCCTCACTCTGATATAAATGTTGTGTATATATGCATATATGAATTTGGATGTACCAATCTATACACATTTTGTTGTCCACGCACAATCGCACTCTCTGTCTCTCTCTCTCTCTCTCTGTCGTTCGCTCTCTCTCTCTCTCTCTCTTTTTCTCTCTCTCTCTCTCTCTCTTTCTCTCCGTGACGGTCCCAGAACGGCCCCACGCGGCCTCAGACACTTTGACAATCGCCCAAGGATGGCCCAAGAAACCCCGATGAGCGCACGAAGACGGCCCAAGAGGGCCACAAGGCAGCCAAGACAGGCCCCCGACGGCCCAGTTATAATGGAGCTTCAGGAGCTGCTCAAGAGGCCCCAAACTGGGATAGAGTGGACCGAAAATATTGCTCGAAACACACCGATTGGGGCCCACTCTCGCTAACATTTTGCAAGCGAGAATTCGAATCGTTTCGGGCCGGCCGTCGCCGTCTTAGTTTGGCACCCAGTAGACATGAGAAAACTTTGATCTCCAAGTGGGGGGGCCGAGGACCTTAGCGGGACAATGAACCACCAAAAGGCCTGCGGGAATGTGTACGAATGGCGCGTTGCTGCTGTGGTCATCGGAAATCGAACTTGGCGCTGTCTGGCGCTGACACGCGGCTTCGCCCAGAGGACTCCGACGCCTCCAGAGGTAGGAGGGAGGAAGGACAAGGATGGGGTGATGGAGCCAGGGGCTCTCCTCCTTCCCACCTCCTCCACCACCTTCCCCCCTCCTCGACCACCTTCAGGCTGGCGCGTGAAGCGGTGCGACATGTTGTCGGCGTGCGGTACCCGGTAACGCGAGGGCCGAGCGCTGGAAAGTCGCGCAGCCCGATGTACATCCAGGTGCCGAGGAGAGGACTCAGGTGCGAGGCCAATTCTTATACACCACCACCGCCCGCTAAAAAATATTCGCAGAAATGGTTGGAGGCAAAGTCATGCCAGACGAGGCTGCGACCCCGCGGCGAGCCGGAGCGCGGCGCAGCGCGCGGAGGCCGTGGTAGGGGGGTCCAAAAACAGAAACAGCAATTCTTGGTGGTGGTGTATAAAAATCGCTCCCCTTGGTAACCAAAATTATATACACCACCACCGCGCGCGTTTCGGGAAATTCTGTTTCGGCCCTTAGGAGAGAGGGGGCAGCGCAGTTGCCGTTTGCGGCGGGAGGGGGGCTGCGGGTGTTCCACCAAAGCTGAACTGCACCAGATCTGATCTTAGATGTTTCCCGATCTTGGTGGTGGTGGTCATATATTGTGCTCGGATCAGGAGAACCAGAGGGCGAGCGAGGAGAGGAGGAACGGAGGCGGAGGAAGGGGCGGGTGGAGGTGGAGAAGTCTGAGGAGGAGCGCAGCATCAGGATGCGGAGCTTTCCTCCGCGATGGAATGTGGAGGCAGCGATGCAGAGATGCGGGGGTCGCCCGCCTGAGTGCTGTCTGTTTCGCACCTCAAAACAGGAACTGCCTACGAATGGATGGCTGGCGCCCACTGGTAGGCAGCCCCACGTGCGTATATAAACCGCACGAGCGCTTCACTCCGCAAGCCCCCACTTGCCGGGGGTGAAAAGGCGTGTGAAACATTTGGGGTCCAAAATCGCGTTGGAGGGGGGGGGCCCTGGGGGATGGGCCAGAGCCCTTCAACGCACCTTCCGGGCCCTCAGAGCGTTGTCCCGAGCTGGATCCACGTGGTTTAACGTGTCCAGGCCACCCAAGGGGGTATCTAACATGATTGCCCCGAGCTGGAACCACGTGCTTTTACGCGTGCAGGCTGCCCAACGGCGTATGTAACATTGCGTCAGGTCCAACGCCGAATTATCAAGAAACGCACGGGGGGCCGAAACGCGCTACCCGAACACAGATCCCAATACAGAAAAACAGCAAAAACAAACAAAAACGTGTTATTGCTCTGGGCAGGGGGGGCGTTTGGGGGGCCTGTCCAGGGAAGCCATTGCGAGGATGTCTCGAGCGGGAGCGCGAATTCAGCGTATCCAGGACACGCAGGGGGGTATCTAATTCTGCGTGTCCAGGCCACCCAACGGGGTATCTGACATGATTGTCCCGAGAAAAGGACCACGTGGTTTAACGTGTCCAGTCCACTCAAGGGTGTATCTCACATGGTTGTTCCGAGCTGGCACCACGGATTTCTACATGTACAGGCCACCCATGAGGGTATCGAACGTGGCTGTCCCGAGAAAAGGACCACGTGGTTTTACGTGTCCAGGCCATCCAGGGGGGTATTTAACACGATTGTCCTGAACTGGTACCATGTGTTTTTACGTGTCCTGGCCGCCCAGAGGGGTATCCAACATGGCGTCAGGTCCCACGCCGAATGATCAGGAAACGCACGGGGCGCCGAAAACCGCTACGCGAACACATTTCCCTATATAATACAATAGTAATAATACCAATAATAAGAATACCAATAATAATAGCAATACGAATAACAATAATAATACTCATAATAATACTCATAATAATAATAATAATGATAATAATAATGATAATACGTTTTCTTGCTCAGGACAGGGGGTGGCGCTTCGAGAGCCTGTCCAGGGAAGCCATTGCGAGGATGTCTCGAGCGGGAGCGCGAACTCAGCGTATCCAGGCCATGCATAGGGGGTATCTAACATGGTTGCCCCGAGCTGGAACCATGTGCTTTTACATGATCAGGCCACCCAGGGGGATATCTAACATGGTTGTCCGCCACAGGGCTGGGGAAGCGTGAAAACGCATGGGTTCCCAACGTCCCATGGCAGGAGAGGCGTGAAAACACATGGGTTCCTAACGCCTTGGGGCGGAACAAGCGTGAAAACGACGGGGCTCCTAACGCCTAAGGGCGGGACAAGCGTGAAAAATAATGAATTCCTAACGCCCCAGGGCGGGATAAACGTGAGCACACATGGGTTTTTAACGCCCCGGGGCGGGAGAAGCGTGAAAACACATTGGTTCCTAACACCCAAGGGCGGGACAAGCTCGAAAACACATGGGTCCCTAACACCCCTGGGCGGGAGAAGTGCAACAACACATCGGTTCCTAACGCTCCGCCCCACGAGGTCCCAGGAGGCTCCAGGAGACATCAGGAAGCACCAGGAAGCATGGCACAGCGCAGCGCAGCACCGCCCAGGCACAGCACAGCCCCCGGCACGGTACATCGAGGCCGATACACTCAACATTGTGTCCTGGCGCGTTCCCTGGCACGTTCCGTGGCGTGTCCCGTGGAACACGTCCCGCGGAGCGTCCATTGGCACGTTCTGTAGCGCGTCCCTTTGGCACGTCCCGCGGTGCGTCCCCATGGCACGTCCCTGGGCACGTCGCCTGACGCGTCCCTTGGGACGTTCCGCGGCGTGTCCTCCTGGCATGTCCCCCTGTCAATTAGCTCTGGGGCAGCTACTATGCGCCCAAGCAGCTCGAACTTGAGATCCATATCAGTTCGGTCAGGACTCGGATGCAAAGGAAACCTCGATCCACTACGCCATGGAACACAATCGCGGCACGGCACATCGCAATTCAGCACGGCGCAGCACAGCATAACCCTCGGCACGGTGCAACAACATCGATACATTCTGCATCGGATTTGCCCGTCGCCCAACCAGGTGTTCTTGAAGCGCCGCCGTGCCTTACATTTCTATATTCTTTTACGGGTTCGTAGGGTCGATCATATCACATGTCGGGCGTGCCCCGAATTTGGCTGCGGCGAGGTACCTGACTGAACTGACTGAACTGAATTGACTGTCTGGTCGCACCTGCTCGGAGGACGTTTTATGCTCGGCGGCCGAGGGCGCAACCTATGGCGCAACCAATCGGAGGGCGTTTGATTCTCGGCGGCGGAGGCGCAACCTGCGGCGCAACCGATGGGAGGCCGCTTTCTTCTCGGCGGCCGGGGGCGCAACCAACTGGCGCAACCAATGGGAGGACGTTCTACTCTCGGCGGCCGAGGCGCAACCTGCGGCGCAACCAATGGGAGGCCGTGTTCTTCTCGGCGGCCGAGGGCACAACCAACTGGCGCAGCCAAGAGGAAGACGTTTCATTCTCGGCGGCCGAGGCGCAACCTGCGGCGCAACAGGTGGGAGGCCGCGTGTTCCTCGGCGGCCGAGGGCGCAACTATGGCGCAGCGTAGAGGATGACGTTTTACTCTCGGCGGCCGGGGCGCAACCTGCGGCGCAACCAATAGGAGGCCGCGCCTTCCTCGGCGGCCGAGGGCGCAACCAGCTGGCGCAACCAGTGGCCGAGCGCCCCAAACTTATGGCGCATCCGAAAGGCGGCCGCGTCGCTTCCGACGGGCGGGCGCGCAGCCTGCGGCGCACCTCGATCGGGCGGGGAGGAGCGCGAGGACGACGGGGGGGGGGAGGCAGGAGGGGGAGGCCGGCGACGACGGCCAGAAGGAGGACGACGGCGACAACGAAGACGAGGTGGGCGACAGGGAGGTGCAAGAAGGGGCGATCACGACGAAGGCCACGACGACGACGGCGACGGCGACGACGGCGGCGGCAAAAGCGGCGAAGACGACGACCACCGCCACAACGACGACGCCAATGGCGACGACGACCACACCGAAAGGGCCCAGACTGGCTGGACGTCACAACGCGCGCGGGGCTACGCCCGACATATGCTCGCCGCTGGGGCTGGCAATGGGGCCCAAGCGGCGAGCTGTCTTGTGATCTGTGGCGCATGAAAACCGGAAAACGAGCCGAGAAGCCAGCCCCCTAGACCCTGGGCGACTCAGGACGGCCCAAGAAGTCCCCAAAGAACCCACTGACGGTCCCAGAAGGCCCCTTGAAACCCCGAGGGCCCCCCAAGACGGCCCAAGAGGCCCCCAAGGAGGGGGCCCCAAGAGGCGCACAAGGAGGAACACGAAGTGTCTCAGGGAGCCCCCCCCCGCAAGAGGGCCCCCAAGACCCCCGGCGCGCCCCCACGCAGCCCCGCCCAAAAAGCCCCCCAAAAGATCCCAACCGCCACCGTGGAGGCCTCAAGGGAGCCACCGAAAAGAAAATAACAGACCCCACGAGACTCCCAAAAGGCCTCATCGTCGCCCTCCTCCTCCCATCCTCCTCCTCATCATCCGCATCATCCTCCCCCTCATCCTCATAATCCTCAGAATCCTCATCGCCATCACCATCAACATCACCACCACCACCATCATCATCATCATCACCATCATCATCATCATCACCAGCATCATCATATCACAATCATCATCATCATCATCATCGTCATCGTCATCACCATCCTCATCGTCATCACCAGCATCATCATCATCCGCATCACCATCATCATCCTCATCACAATCCTCATCATCATCCTCATAATCATTACGACGCTCGTCATCCTCATAATCATGATCAGCATCAGCATCATCAGCATCATAGTCATAGCCAACAGCATCATCCGCATCCTCATCGACATCATCACCACCAGCATCACCAGCAGCATCATCACTATTATCATCATCATCCCCATCATCATCGGCATCAGCACCCATAGCATACCCAACATCATCACCACAATCATCATCCGCGCCAGCATCAGCATCAGCACAAGTAACATCACCATCATTAGCATCATCAACATCATCATCGTTGCCACCAGCATCATCATCAACATCATCAGCATCATCAGCACTATCATCCGCGCCAGCATCAGCATCATAATCAGCATCAGCAGCGTCACCAGCATCATCATCATCAACATCATCGTCGCCATCATCACCCTTCCTCCTCCACATTCTCTTTCTCCTCATCCTCCTCATCATCACCCTCTTGTTCGTCACCGAGGTATTCCTCCTCCTCGTCCCGCTCATAATCATATCCCTTTTCCTCGTCCTCCCCCCCCCCCCTCCTCATCTTCACCCTGCTCCTCCAAACCATCATCATGTCACCAGCGGGATCCGCATCGTGATTATCATCGTCATCCGCATCATCATCGTCTTCGCTGGTGTCATCATCATCATCATCATAGTCAGCCGCGCCACCATCATAATCATACTCATCATCCTGAAGCCAGTTTCGCCTGAAACTTCCTCACTCGCTATGACCCTGGAGCTTAACATTAACAACTGTTTTACAGACGGAGGGCGGATGGTCCTCAACATGTAGTTCTCGCCTTAGCGTCGCGCACATTCGTTTTTAACATGTGAAAGAAGTTCACATGGCGAGGGTGATTCCTTGTCAAAATACTGCTGTCGCACTAGCGCCGCACGCATTCCTTATTTCCCATTATCAGAATACCAGAAATGGCGGCGTGGAAGAATTCAGGATTATGATTCCAGGAGGGGCGTCTGGCTGGGGTGTCGGAGACAGCTGTTTTCCAAGCCAGAGGGTGCTGGACACTGCCAGCTCGGTCTTGAAATTCAGAATGCGCGTCGCGAAGCACCGTGCGCGCGAAGGTCAGGCCACAATATTAGTCGAACTGAATTGCGCCCCCCCCCCCCTATAGGTTAAAGGCCAGGGTAGAGGAAGCCAGAAAGGACTATAACGCAGAAGCACACCCTTACAACGCTCAACCCTCTGAGGAATCAACCACCAGCAAGCAGTTCTAT